ACTCAAACGTCGAAATCAATCAAAAGTTTGAAAATTTAATGAAGGAGCAAGGTGGAAATTGTATTTACAGGGTTCGGGAGCAGCTGGTTCGGCCTGCTTGTTCTTGTTGAAGAAGAAGGTTGTGGTAGAGAAGCGCTTAGAGGATCTTGATGAGGTGAAGAAAGAAGTTGAGATGTTGAGGCCATGGAACCGAGAAGGCTTTGAATAAGAAAATTTTGAACCTAAAACCCTGTGAGATTGGGGAGGTGAGCTGCAATGTTCAGCTAACTTGACAGAGGACATTAGTTTTAGAGAGGTAGACTGTGCCATTGACAGGGGCGGACCCAGGACAAAAATTCAGGGGTTGCCCGGACTATCCCTGGCTACCCCGGGTCCGCCCTTGGAGACAGGGCCAGGTGCACTCACCATTTTCGATGGTGAGTTTGCAGGAGACGAACCCAAAGTAGAAGGGCTAGGACATACGGCTGGGCCTTTGGATGACGGTTTAACCAACACATCGACTTTCTGGCCGGCTTGACAGTGTCCTGGGACACCGCAAAGGAAATAAAAATGGCCGGATCTTTTGAGAGTATTTTTATTTCTCACAATTTGAGGGGTTGCCCGGGCAACCCTGGCTACCCCCTAGGTCCGCCCCTGGGCCCATTGACGGTGTTGGAAAGTTGGTGAAGACGAAGAAGACAACTGAATCCCAGGACTGGGAAGATGTTTTTTTTGGGTGATAGTTTATGATCACTAAATTAATCACAACTTCGATAAAAATACAAATAAATACAAGTGTCGGACCTCGAAATTATATTTTATACACTAATCTACATGTGAATCATGTAAAATATTTAGAATACAAAACTCAAAATTCTGGTCTATTTTCGAAGAATAATGATGGTTAAAAATGAGATGAACGAGTGTGATCAATCCATTGAAAAATGGCCCCTGATTAGTTTTATTCAACGATATTTTCTCAAAATTTTCCAATAATTTTACTCTATTTAAAAAAAGTATTTTATCAAAATCATCATTATATATAAACGAATTTGAGTTATCAAAATAATAATAAAATAAATTTGAGTTATTAATAAAATATTAATAAAATAAACTTGAGTTATTAATAAAATAAATCTGAGTTATTAATAGATTCCATGTCATAAAAAATAAATTTGAGTTATTAAAATAAGAGTAATTCTATAGTTTAATAATTAAATTAAAAAAATTTAAACTTTAGTGACTAAAATAAGAGTGATAAGATAGTTGAGTGATAAATAGTGTAATTTACCTAAAAAATTAAAAAAACATGTTTTTTAATGTGTCATATGTCATGGTTATAGGGTTTTGCGTCACTTCCCGTGATGGAAGTGAGTGAATCCGTTAACGGAAGAAAACATTATGTAGTTAATCGAGAATTTTTAAATTTTATGTATGAAACTGAGAATCAGATATAGTTCATGTATGAATAGGGTAATTAACTCTAAAGAATAATTAGTTGAAATTTAAAAAAAAATTAAAATACCAAATCAATATCACCGTTAATTTTCTAACGATGGATAATAAAAAATAAATATAATGTTACGTATGATTTTAAAAAATAATAATTGAATGACCAAAATAAAAAATAAAATAATAAATAAATGACTAAATAGATAATTTTTTAATTATATGTCAATTTCTCAATATTGGGCCCTGGCAAGTTCGTCTCCTACCCAACCTTAGCCAAGACACTGCACGTCACATAAGACATATTACGAAAAACGCTTTTGATAGGACAGATCTTCTTCCTACACGATAAAAAGTGATATCTTCATAAATAATATTTGAGGAGTGCTATAATCATAAATTAAAAATGATATATTTCAATAATAAAACCACATTAATGATAATTTAAATATAATAGAAAATATTAAATATATTAGATATTAAATATTAAATATGAATATAATATATTAAACTTTTATTTAACAAAAAATAAATATTATTTTATATTAATTAAATATATATTCCGTGCAAATCCAATTTTCTCTCTAACTTAGATGAACCGTGGAGAATAAGTAGAGGATACTAAAACCAAAGAGAAAAGACAATAATGGTAACACTAACATAAACTTGTACCGGCAGGAATAAAAAGTACAATAAGCATCAATAATATATTTTTAGGTGGCGTTTGGTTCGCTGGAATGTTTCTGAGGGAATTAAAATCTGTGAAGGAATTGAAATCTGTCAGGAATTAGAATCCAATTTCATATTCTGTTTGGTTGGCAATTGGAATCCAATTCTATATTCTGTTTAGTTCGCAGACATGTCAGATAAATTTGATTTCAGTAATGTAAAATGACAGGATTGCCCTTCTTATTTTTTTGCTTAATTTTAGTTTGTTTTATAAATTACATATAGCAATATATTATAAAATTTTAAAAAATATGAAAATTTAATTTTATTGATTGATTATTCATTTCAATAAATTATAAAAATCATGTTAATAAACATCATAAGTTAAAATCATCCCAATTAGGGATGTACATAGGTCGGGTTTTTGGTCCACCCGACCCGACTCGAGAACAAGGGAACCTCCATCCGAGACCCGATCTGACCAAAATAAAGTTTCACCCGACCTGACCTGAATATATGAATTAGAAACCCGACCCGACCCGAAATAATAAAAAAATTATTTTTATTCAATAAAAACAATGACTTAATTGAAAAAAATATATATAGAGGGATATTATTGTAATTATTTCTAAATATATAAATATATAAGGTAAAATTATATATTTTTTGGTTTGGTTTGGGTTGGGTCGGGTATTTTTCACCCTAAACCCGAACCCGACCCGACTATCACACTTCAAAAAAACCAACCCGACTCGACCAAAATAAAGTTTCACCCGACCCTTCCCGACCCGAATATATGAAATTGAAACCCGACCAAACCCGACCCGAAATAATAAAAAAATTATTTTTATTCAATAAAAACAGTGACTTAATTGAAAAAAATTATATATAGAGGGGTATTATTGTAATTATTCCTAAATATATAAGGTAAAATTATATATTTTTTGGGTCTGGTCGGGTCGAGTATTTTTCACCCTAAACCTGAACCCGACCCGACTCAAATATCACACTTAAAAAAAAACCGACCCGCCCCGACCAAATTAAAGTTTCACCCGACCCGACCCGAAATAATAAAAAAATATTTTTATTCAATAAAAACAGTGACTTAATTGAAAAAAATTATATATAGAGAGGTATTATTGTAATTATTCCTAAATATATAAGGTAAAGTTATATATATTTTCGGGTCGGGTCGGGTATTTTTCACCCTAAACCCGAACTTGACCCGACCCGAATATCACACTTAAAAAAACTGACTCAACCTGACCAAAATAAAGTTTCACCCGACCCGAATATATGAATTAGAAACCCGACCCGAAATAATAATAAAATATTTTTATTCAATATATGAATAAGTTACCAAAAGATTGATGAGAGTAATATGATCAAATTTCAATTCCATCCAACAAAGGAATTGAATTCCATTATAGAATGGATGGAATTAACTTTCTCTCATTTATAGAAAGTTAAATTCATGAGGAATTCCAATTCCCTTTGAAAACTTGAACCAAACATGGGAAAGTAATGAAATTGGATTCCAATTCCCCCTAATTCTAAGAGATTCATGCGAGCCAAACGTCACCTTAGATTAATTTGACATTACTTAATTGAGGTTCAAAAAAATGTGTTTAAAAGTAGGATAAAATATATAAAACGGTCATTTAAAATTTGTTACGATTGGTTAACAAGTTATCAATTGATACTTTCTCTCTCGGTTGTGAATTCAATACATTTTAAGAGTAAAATTTTCTTTCATCCTCACCCTCACTCTATCCCAAACTAAAAATTGTTAAAAAATTGTCACGATTGATTCAATTTCTTGAATATTTATTTAATAATATTTTCATAATGATCAAATTTTAATTTTCGCTTATTATTTTATTTAGTCTTATTCAATTAAGAAATATATTTTTTTAGATATTATTATATTTTCGAGATGTAACTTCACTTCTTGTAATACAACTCTTCGTTATACTAGTAAAATTACTTCCAGAAGGATTCACCATAAGGCAAAAGTCCTCGACAAGAGCTTTGATAAGATTTTTGATAAATTTGAATGATTTGTTCCGATCAAATCTGTTAACTGATGATTGCATTTACATATATCATATCAACGTACATATAATAATTTTGACTCTAGATCTGACACAATGATATAAAGAAAATCATAATAGTCAATATATAAACTCTAATAACATACAAGAAGACGGACTTTGACTATTATCTTCTTCCCCTCGAGATTAATTTCTCAAATCTCAAATACCTTATTTTTAGAAAATGAACCAGGAATTTATTAAGGCTGAAGTTAAAGTATTTTTTATTTTTTATAAATACAAATTTTATTTTAATTGAGGGATTCTGATAAAATTTTTTTTTATTTATTTTTTAAATATATATATTTTAATATTAATTCATACTTAAAAAAATTGACGGGATCAAGAGGAAGTTCCGCCCATGCTTGCATCTACATCCAAAGTCGACAATATCTACATTACTGGTCGACCATTGATTATGGCTCTCCGTCAATAGAAGAAGAAAATCACTCTCACAATCAACATAATCCTTATTGTTTCATCAACAAATATATAGATAATAATTTTTTAAAATTCTCATGTGTATATTTTAATTTATAGACTTCAAAAATTGATGATAAATTAATACATCGAAATAAATCATATACATGACAATTTTTTAACTCTTAATTTGTTTTATTTCATTTATAGAGTTAAAAAAATATCATTAATGTATCAAATAATAATATTACGTATATATGATTTAAAAATGTAAACTGCTTTGTGTTGAAATTGAAAAATATTGTAAAAAATTAAGAGAGGGAGAGGGGGAGAGGTTCTCATAATTGAAAGTGAAACTTAGGTCTGTTTATTTAGGGGAAAATCAATTACAGAATTGATTTCCCCGAATTTCCGGTATTTAATTTCCGTAAAAGCATTTGGTCAATGTAAAACCATAAAAGAAGCTCCTTCATTCCCGTAAAACAACTTACCATGGAAAAAACGGAAATTCATTTTACGAGCCAACTGTTTGCCCTTCTTTACCTTTTATCTTTTTCATTCTCCGATCAACTATCACCATCTTCTTCTCACCCACAACAATTACTCAGCCCACAACAAAATCAGCAGATTTTGTACCAGCAAAATCAAGTGAGGAGCTCTACGATTCCAAGGTAATATTTTGAATCCCTAATGCTCTTCCTCCTCTTTCTAATACTACATCACAGAATCAACTCATCGAGCATTTTAAATTTACCCTTTTTTTCCTTATGCTGGTGTTCATTCACATTCAAATTAATTTTTGTTGCAGTCGTGAGTTTACTCATCGTGTAAAGTCTGTATCGGTGTCAAAATTCACTTCACATGAAGTTGAAGCTCTTCAGAGTGGTGGTAATCAGGTTTGAAAATTTGTTACTTTTCTTTTTATCTATGGCAAGATTGCAACACTTAATTTGTCTTTTAAAATAATAAAAAAAAAATTGACTTCTTTTTTTCCCTTGTTTAGACCCTTGAGATTATGTAGGTATTCTGGTTTTTTCTAGCTTCATGTCGAAAGCAATCCAGGTTATAGCAGTAGAATAATACGTGATTTGGGCATAGACCCATTTTCAGTAGAAAACAGACATGAACTTCCCATTAATGGCTTTGTGGTTCTGCTTTTGCTTCAGAATTTGTTCTAGTTATGACTTTGGTTTATTAGTTTACTAGCAACTGAATTAACAAGCTACACAAAGGTGACCATATCTGATTTTGGCTGAAAAGTACGACACTAGCTAAGCCCTTTGTCTGGCTGAGCATTGAGAGTACCAGCTTCAGGCTTGTAGAAGTTCAAGAGAAATTCTGATGCCGAAGGACCTCCATGTTTTTAAATTATACTAGTACCATATAGAGTTTTTTTTATGTTTATCTAGCTTATGGGTCGATGTCATAGAAATTGATTCTTGAGACTTAAAATTTTAGTTAGGCTTTTCTAAGCGTGCTGTTAACAAGGCTTGGTTTGATCATTTGTTGATTTTCTCCTTCGGCCGAGAGTCCATTCTCTTTGATCTGATCATTTGTTGCCACGGTTAACAAGGCTTGGTTTGTTGCTTTTGTCTTAATTCCTACCCAAGACCAAGCCAAGGCCATGAAGTGATAGAATGAGTTGATGGCAACAAAAAAAAATTAGTGTCTTGTGATGACTTAGCCATTGCCAAGTGGCTTTCACAATTCACACTTACCAATTCAATTTTGTTCATTTGCTTTGATGTTCATCTTTTAGCCTGAATTTTGCCAAACTTACACTCTCAAAGCCTCCCTTTGTGCTTGCCAAATGCTTATAATCCCAAAACGGTCACATGAACAATGCTGAGATTACAAAAAAGATAAAGACTACATTTTAACAATGCTATTTTGCCTATAAAATAACTCAATTTCCCCCCTTCATCTCCGCACCGCATAGCTTTTCTTACACCACTTGAGGCATTCATGGCTTTTTCTTTCCATCATTTCCTTATCATTTTCTTCTTTCTACCTTTTATCAGAATCTCTAACGATTCTAAAGACGAATAGGTTTGTTTTACCGGTGCAAAGAGATCAAAAGACCAACCTTTATGTGGCCAACATATACAAGCGAACTTGTTGAGTTAATCGATCGATGGAATCGGCCAAGAGGGGGTGAATTGACAATTAAAATTTTGGTGGAAGCTTTTGTAGAAAATTGAAAGTAATTGCACAGTGATTTAGAGTGGTTCGACTTTCTCAATCAAAGTCTACGTTCATTACCTTAGCTATCCACACTAAGGATTTTCCAACAAATTCACTAATTTGTTCTTTCTTTTGAGGCCAAAGAGATAACCTTGCAACTCTCTCAAGAATATATCCCAATTCTTGAGAACACTATTTCTCAAAGAGAAGATTACAAATTTGCAAACTTACAAGGAAATCCTCACAAGTAAGATTGTTTGCACAATTCTAGAACAAAGAAAAGAACACTAAAAAATGAATACAATTGAGTACAAGTAGCGTTCTTAAAAGTAGGGGTGTATTCGGTTCGGTTCGGTTCGGTTTTTTACCAAAAATTGAACCGAACCGAAATAAACGGTTTTTCAATATTTAAATCGAAACTGAAACCGAATAGTTAAAAAACCGAAAAAATCGAAACCGGTTTTTTCGGTTCGGTTCGGGTTTTTTAACGGTTTAGGTTTTTCGGTTCGGTTCGGTTCGGTTTTTCGGTTTTTCAATGAAAAAATCACTTGAAACTATAGTTTTTTTTACAAAAATTGCCTATTCAGTTCAATATGGAACAAATGGGTTCCATATGAAAAACCCGAACCGAACCGAATCAAAAAAATGAAGCCTTTAAACCGAACCGAAAACTGAACCGTTTAAAGCCAAACCGAACCGAACCGAACCGTTTTACTCGGTTCGTGTCGGTTTTTCGTTTTTCTCGATTTCGTTGCTCACCCCTACTTAAAAGCAAAATGAATATTGAATGAAAAATAGGCTTGAAATGCTCAAACTTGAGGTTTGATGCTTTCTTTTTGATTCTCTCTTGATTCTTGTTGATTGTTGTTGATTATTGTTTCTTGTTATTGATCAATGGCTTCTAAGCTTGTTTAAATAAACCTTCAAATGATTCTGAACATTGGGATGCTTAGTGGAGTCAATAGAGTCGCTTAAGTGTGAAAACAATTAATTAAAGCAATTGGGAGCATCAGTGCATCGATGCATACCCATGGTGCATCAGTGCATCAGTGTAAAATTCAAATATTTTGACCGTTGGACCCTTAGTGCATCGGTTCACTAAGAGTGCATCGATGCATCAAGTGCATTCGATGTTTCAAAATAGCCAGAGTGCATCGATGCATGACTGGTGCATCGATGCATCAAATGCATTCGATGTTTTCATAAAATCCTCAGTGCGTCGATGCATGGTATGCGCATCGATGCATGAAATGCATTCGATGTTCAATTTAATTCATGGTGCTTCGATGCATGCATCGGTGCATCACTTTGATAAATTGATTTTAGGCTTGATTTTGATTCAAAATACTTTATGAAAATTGTTTCAAAAATAGTTTAAGTATAAAACACAATTTTACACATTTAGTAAGATTTGAATTTGATTTTGAAGACTTGGATTAATAATTTTATATTCGATTAATTAAATCGAATATACTTAAAAATCATTTGTAAAATCTTAAAATTCATTTAAACTTAATTTGTTATATCGAAACACAAAATGTTTTCAACAATCTCCCATTTTTTGTTAAATCAAAAAGACATTAAAATGTTTTAAACAAGGTTTTGAAAAGCATAGTCAATTGATTTTAAATATATATATAGCTTAAGCTGTTAAGATCACAATCAAAAGAGAGATTACCCATTAGTTCCATAACCAATATTCATAAACAAATGTGAAATGGCATAATTGGTCATATATATCTAATGATGCAAAATTAAGAAAATTCAACCAAACCAAATATATATATATTAAGTTCAAAATCTAATCATCCAAACCATAACAAATTCAAGCATTTAACAATCCAAAACAAACAATCTAGAAACATCAAAAACAATCCAAGTTTGAAATATTAAGAAAGCATGGAGAAAAAGTCTAATCCATCAGAGGGTCGGGAGGAGGAGGATAATGAGCTCGAACTTCAAGAGTGAGCGCGTCCATACGTTCGCACATCTCCCGCTGAAACTCAGTAATCTGAGACTCCATGGAGGAAAACCTCAGATCAAACGACTCCAAGAAGGATCGAAAATATGGTGGCATTTGATCTTCTTGCCGTGCCGGTTCCGGTACAGGCTCATCGTCTGGAACGTGATCGTCGATATCTTGCATAAGTTGTTGAAACTCAGGATCAACGTCAGCAACGGGTGCCGGAGGAGGAGGAGGAGCACGAGAAGAGCTAGGAGCAGCTCGTGAAGAGCTAGCTCCCGGAGTTTGCTTACCGGGTCGAAATACCCAAAGACTGGTTTCCTCGTCTTGTTTCCAATCCGCTTTCTTCAAGGAAGTAAGATTGATTTGATTTTGGAGTGGGATAGGATTGCCGAGAGAGACGTTTAGACCGAGTTTGATAAAGAGGTTACTCAGAAGACATCCATAAATCAATGTTTCAACATGTTTTGAAGGAACAATGTTTATGATATCCACTAGTTGACTAAAAATAATATGGGGTAGATTTATTTTGATATTATTTTTAATACAGTGCATCCACCATAAATCCCTAGCACGAAGAGTGGAGTATCTACCTCCGGATGGTCTAAACCACCAAGAGATCACCAAATGAAGAAAACGATCGTGATGAGATCGTAGAGTACTAACACTAGAATTTGGAACATAGGGATATTCCACATTTTCATTCTCATTATATAACCCATCATCATCTAACCCAAAATAAAAAGCTATAGTCTCGAGGTCATTATAAATATGTTGGCCTAAAAGATAGGATCTAATGGCTATAGTCCCACATTGAGTTTCGTTTTGAATACATACCACATTGGAATAGAAAATGCGGACTAATTGTTGATAAACGATAGGTTTGAGCTGAAACATTTTATCAAACTTCCAAGCTTTAAGAATCGAAAGGTATTCAAAGTCGATATCTATCATAGCTTGAAGAGAAAGAATACACTATTCCCGGATTTTATAAGATTGAAAAGAATTTCTGTACCTAGAGTACAATTCGTCTCTACGACGCCCAGGCATGTTAAAACAAGATTCTAATAGAGATGTAGGTGGAGGAGGAACATGATTAGGAGGTTGGTTTGAACGAGAACGACTCGATGAAGTCTTAGGGCGTTTGAGATTTGACATGTTTTAAAGATTCAAAAAAAGAAAAGTAACCTGCAATTTGAAACACATGTATGCACAATAATCAATCCCAAAACTCAATTGAGTCATCAATAATTCAAGGTTCTCTAAACCGAATCCTAATGGGCAAGGTTTTGAAAACTATTTGAAAACAATTTTTGTAAAATCATAATATGTATAGTTTTTATGAAAACAACATAATTAAATCAAAAACATCAAATTTAAAAATTAAATTCAAATTTTTGATTTTTTTTTTATTTCGAAAATTTAAAAATTTCTTTGAAAATTTGTGAGTTTTTGATGAAATTGGTTGTAAAATCTAGTTTGTAATCATCAAACAATCAATTCCCGATAAAATGTTCATCTTATAACTAATTAAAACTAGTCCTAAGATTATAATATGATAAAATAGAGGCTTTTAGAAAAATACCTTGAAAATTTCGGATTTGAGAGGAATGAGATGTTGTGTTGCACGATTTAATGATAGTAGCAGGATATAGAGATGAAAAGCTCGAAGATTCTGACACATTTTTTGATGATTTTGAGCAAAAGGAGATTTAGAGAAAGAGAGGCGGCAAGGGAGTGTTTTTGAGG